CTTGCTAATCTTTTGTTGGGGCGTGTTTCTAAGTGGAATATAAGTCTCAGATTCAATCCTGAGTAATTTGTGAGGTAGGTGCCTCCACCATCTGCTACCTTATCGTGTGGTGGGTATTCCAAGAAGTCAAACTAGATCGTTTGATGCTCTCAAACAAGGTAAAACCGTAAAACTTCCAGCTCTATGTCTTGTGATATTGATGAGGCATTGATCATATAAACTGACAAAAATAGCAATAGAATGCTTAAACATATACGTGTGAATTGTGATAGTGTGCGACTGTGGGTCTATAATAATAAATATTGGTGAAAGTCATAGTTTTGGTGACTGGATAATTCAGACCTAAATGTGAAGGGTTGCAAAACTACTTTCCACATCTGTCATAACATGAGTTTTGTGGCAATAACTATATTGTGAATTTGTGATACCTCATCAACTTGGGGACTTCAAGTGTACCTAGTTGTTGTTATAATACATACCTGGAAGATTGAATTTTATGCTGAAGTATATTTATATCAAATGTGGATTAAATTATTTGTGAAGTGAATGATTATTATCAATGAGAATTCTAATTTAATTGGTACTCTTACTGAAAAGTGGTGATTAAAATTGTCATCGGATGTGTTAATTGAAGCGTCTGGTTGAGAAGGTAACTCCTAAAGCATTGAGAAATAATTTGTCTATACGGGATCGAAAGTTGAGTTTTGGTGCTGGTAATATAATCACTACTTGGATTATAATCTCTATTTGATAGGTTCTTGTGGTCCTATAAGAACAAATTTAAATTCATGGGGATTGGTACACGTGTTTAGGGAAAAAAAAACAAGATCGTAGTTTTGGCGTTATTCTTCATTGCATTTTGAATATTAAATTGTCTACCATTTATTTATTATACATCATGACATAATTTTCGATTATGGATTTGCGATAAAAGGATTTATCATTGGTTTCTTTAAGGAGTTTAACTCCACCTTTGTCAACCGTTTTGGAGTTTACTATGATGTCACAATAATGGTTACAGTTGGCAGTGTTTATGCGGCTTTCAATCTCACGTCCTAAGATAATCAATTGTTGTTTGATTGTGGCCAGGTTAATTATCTATGAGCTTTTGTTCACATTTCCATGTGTCCGTATTGGGTTTTTGCTTTTATGGCACGAAATGCTTATTCGCTTGTGTTGATGCAATAGACGTGTTTTGGGTTGAGAAAAGAAAAATACACGTATTTTGGTTTAGAATTATATAATGATTATGAAATGTGATAATATATGTGCAGCATTACAAATATAAATATTTGGTGATTTCTTGACGGCATTGAGAAACGGAAGTACACTATATATGTTTTACAAACGAAATGTTAGTGGGATTGTTATTGGCAGAAATGCAGAATGATCTTAAATGTAAAATATATGAGTGTTGTTTAGCCGTTGGTAGATTTATTTCCTTTAGAGGTTTCAGTATTTCCTGTCAATTAATAAATTAAATTGACGTTAATAATTTATAACATCTTTGTTATAAACTCTTCAATGTTAACCTAATTGGTTGTTGCTGTGTTATTACATGTGTGAAAGTCATACTTTGACTACGCCGTGAACCCCATTTTTGAAGAATATATATTTACAGTGCTGTCGGTCTTGGGGGTTTTGACTGATTATATTAAATAATACTCCCTCCAATCTTAATTATAAGCTTCAAATTTAGGGAGGGATATGGTTCATTTCATAAATTTCAATTTGGGCTTATCCTAATATTTAATGTATTTTTTTAGTTTTGCTCTTAAGTATTTATTCTTTTTCTTTTGCCATAATCTCTCTTATCACATTTACCCACATATTCTCTTTCATTTTTTTCCTCATTTATTATAAAGGTATATTTGGAAACATTAGTATATTTCTAGCCTATTTATTACTTTTAACTAATTTTAATTAATTGTTTGTTATCTGTAAATTAGTTATTTGAAACTTATAATAAGGACTGGAAAGAGGACATGTCATTTGGATATGTGGAGTTCACAGTGGCTTAGAGGGGCCTGTGCCATCCTCTATAACTAAATTTTCCGGAATTTCAATGGAGGTTATTCTATTTTGATCAGGTCCAATGCGTACTTCTCCAATTTTCAACAACCAATGTAAGAAGTTCTTGATCCTACTTTGTTCTTCTAGTGGAGAATTAGGCATGAGTCATCCAATAATTTGCGGTGATTCCATAACCCAGAGGAGTGTCAAGTCCATCATCATTTGGCTTTATCATGTAACTTCTTCACAAAATTGTGATATTCTTTTATATGTGTGTGTATATATAGAAGAATTTTGGGAGAATTACAAAGAGGTCCCAAGAAAGAAAAACAATTACAAAACAAGTCCCAGAGGTTGTTATTCTCCACTTTAGAATCTATCATTACAGGCTGCTCAGGTTGTTATTGGACCTTTTAGTAATTATTTCTCTTTCTTATGATTTGATTATAATTCTCCCAAAATATTTTGGCATTTGATGTTAGGCTGGTAGTGAAATTTACTTAAATATCTATCCATATATATATTTACTGTGAAACTTAATTGAAGTTATGTCCATTGTGCTTCAATTTCCAGGGGTTAGACGGCTAAGGGTCCGTTTGGATGAGTAATTAGAAAAGTAGCTTATAGGAAAAGTAGCTTATAGAAAAGTGAAGTTGGTAAAAGCTAAATTGGATAGGTTGAATTGTATTTGGATTGGAGTTAAAAAAAGCTAGTTTGCAGAAGTGAGATTGGTAAAAAGTTGTTTCGATTATAGTTGAGTAAAAGTAAGTTTGGTTATAAAATGACCAAAATGGGTATGAGTGTTAATAAATAATGAAATATGATAAAAAAATGATTTGACATAATACAATGAAATTAAAATAATTTATTATGAAGAAGTCAAATTAATGAGTGAATTAAATTTTAAAATTTTAAAAAAATCATAACAAATATTTTAAATATAAAGTGAAACATGAAAAAAAATGAATTGATATAATACAATGAATTATTGTTAATTTAATATGAAGAAGTGAAATTGATTGAGGGAATTAAATTTGAAAACATAAGAGAAATGGAAACAAAATTGCAAATATAAAACAAAACATAATTTGAATGGGTAAACATGTTTTTAACTCCAATTTGCAGTATTGTAACAAAGTGAAACTAAATAATATTACATAATTAATTAATAGATAAGCTATGGATAATTTGGTCTCTGATTGCATCATGGACGCGATTCATATGCGATGAAGACTGTGATGTGACATTTGAAGACGATGGTTGACTAGCTTCAGCCTGATCATGTTCGCCCACATTATTACCATTTTCAGCTTGTTCAAAAAAGAAGTCGGAGCTTGAATGTCTCCTTATAAGGTTATGAATAGCCATTGTTGCACAAACCAGATACACTTATGTTTGGAAGTCGTAACTGCGCATATTTCGTAGGACTTGAAATCTATTCTTCCAAACATCGAATGTTCTATTGTGCACCTTAAACTGGAATGATAATAATTGAAGGCTTCATTACTATTTCGGAATCCTACTTGTCATCCAAAGTCTGGAAGGTGGTAGCGCTCAGATCTGTATGGACCTAGATATCCATTTGGTGTTGGATATCCCGCATCAACCAAGTAATATTTTCCTAATGATTCATGAAACAATTTGAGAGATTGTGAAATGAATAAAAATATGAAATAATTAAAAAAAACATGCATGATTGGAACACATAAACATATACCTGGAGGTGGATGAGGAAAATTAAGAGATGAATTTGTAATATCACTGTCAAATATATGAGCATCATGTGCAAATCCCTCCTATCCTGCCAAGACAAAAGTGAAACACATATCCCAATCACATACAGCCATGACATTTTGTGATGGATTTCCCTTTCTGCCAATAAATTTGTCTCCTTTTGCAACGGGGACAACACACTAAATATGAGTGCCATCAATTGCTCCGATTGCGTGCTTAAAAAATGGATAGTAGCGTGGATCGTTCTCAATTTTTCTATGAGTTTCGCGAAATGTTGGATCTATGGGTCGACTAAGTTCACTTGATAGGCTAAGACAAGCTTGCAGTACATTGTGAAAGTGCCTACTTACAGTTTCCCCTGAATGTTGAAATCATTCCTGAATCATCCTATTGCATTGTCCATGTGCAACCGTGTTTAAAAACATCGCAACCATTTCTTCAATTCCTACGTACTTAGACTTTTGTAAACCATGTTCCTCCAATTTAGTACATAAGAGGTGGAAAACATCTTTATCCATTCTAAACATTCATGACATCGATCATCATGCCCATTCATAATGCCTTGTATCCATAAATTTCCTGTCTGCTCACTAGTTCTGCACGGTTGTTTAAACATGTACATTTCACAATAATAACCAACCAATGCACCTACTGCTTCATATTGTGTTAATTCCTCATTAATTATGGATAACCGTGTTGAATGGTCATCTTATTCGACCGTGAATCGTTATTCCAATTCCATAAAGTATCTTCATTCCATGGTGAATCATCGTTCCAATTAGCCATTTCTGGAATTAACCCTGTAACTGTGGTGAAAACAAAATGTAAGCATTATAAGGATTACACTAAACAAAGTGTAAATAATTTTCATACTGCAAATAGAAAAACCAAACGCATAGATGACAAGTAGAAATTAGCGTAAATATATTACATAATCATTAATAAAGTTCTTACAACATGCCACATCAGTTTAGGTTAAAACAACAAGTAGTTCAGGTTAACAAGTGCAATAACAATAGTGAAACAATTAAGTCCTAAACTAAATCCTATTCTGCAGGTCCCTTCCATGTGTCTGGGTCTTGTGCTGCCGGTATCAACCACGCCAACAACTTGCTTCTATCATGCATAAACCCCAAATAGGCTCGCCTAGCCCACCTCAACCGCATAAGCATCTTGGCACATGCATAATATAGTTGATTGTCACCATTAAGCTCCTCAACGGTAGTCAGGTGTGCCAAAACCTTATCAACTACTTAGGGATCTTCAACCAATGCTGCTGCTCGCTTGTCAAAAGCAGCTGCTATGACACTCAGGCTATCAGAAATTTTAGTAGATGCAGCAACTTTTTTCTTCTTCTTTGCATCTGATGTCTCACCCTTCTTTCTCTTTCCATAGCTTCCTGAGCCACTTGGTCCAGTACTCGCGGGGTTGTTTATGTTGCAAGCAGCGAAGTCATCTGTGACCCCTGCACGGGCTGTTGGATCCATACCAAAGTTTTCATCCTCACTATCCCCTGACCCTTCCTGTTGGTCCAGCTCGACTCTATAAACATCCTCCTCCTCTTCTGTGTCAGGCTATGGAGCAAACACTGGCTAAGGCTGTGAGGCTGATGGTGCGTATGCATACTCTCCCGAAGCCACAACATCTTTGAATATTTTCATCAGATCTGATGCAAACATCAACCCCTGATGTCTAAATTTCTTGAAATTAGGGTCCACCTACATGAACATAATTAGGCATAATTAAGCGATGTTCCTTCTGATATTCAAAATTAAAACTCAAAAAACACAAATAGTTACCAGTATTTTTTGCTGTCACCACTCATCAGAGGCCGGCACCCTATTTGTGGCTGCATCATAACCAATGCCAGTCTCCCCAGACATCAGTTTTTCCCACAACTTCCAATCTTTTCTCAATACATCAAATCTGTTCTTCAGTTGCCTCCTGTCATACATTTTCCCACTCCTTTCCTGAAAATTCTTTTCAATTTTCCCCCAACCAGGTCTTGTAAACGATGTTCCTTGTCTTTCTTTGTGCACTATTTGCTCGGCACAAACATTAATTAGAATTTTTGTCGTGTAATAATCCAATGTCGCTTTTCCCCTATCATTATCCATTTCTCTATGCCCTTTGATCAAGATAAGAGTAATTGAATCAACCAAAGCCCTAAATATGTAATAATAAAAGCCGTATTATATAACACATACGTTGTAACCAAACAAACATGTATAACCAAGTAACACATTTTAATTGCATAAGCTGTTTAGTTTTCTTATTCAAAATTTTTTAAAATTATAAATATATAATCACAATGTCAATGTCCACTATTTTCCGGTGGTAATTGATTGTGAACATTTTAAAATTAAATTTTTAATATATCATATAAATTGAACCTAAACTGCATTACATTGATTAATTTTTATCCCAATTTTACTGTGTAAAAGTAAAATAAAAACCAAATTAAGAACGATGAACAAGATTATTTACAAAAATATGTTATATTTATTATAATTAACTAATTTACCTAACTTTTCTAATATAATCAAATTAGTTAAATAAATATCATATTAGAGAGAAGTAAGAGAATATAACAGGAGAAAGAACAACATTAAATTTATTCTGATTGAGACTAAAGAAATTAATTCCAAATTATTTTTAAGTAATTATCCACATAGTCCTTAATTTCTTTGTATAGTACAAATTAATGTCTTATTACTTTGCTCTATCAACGCTGTTAATTAGCTCTATCAAAGAAGTCAATTACTTTGCAAGTGAATGATAATGTTTGTGCCTCTATTTTTTGATAAAAGTAATCGATCACGTTTGTTTGGGCTTTACTTGGAGAGACCAAATCTAATGGTGATATATGTAGCAATTCTTATCTTCCTTTATTTCCTATATCATTCGGCCAAACATTTTGAATATTCATTGGCATTATATTCCAGTTAAACAATTACCCTTTAATAACTTGTAAAAATCTCAAATAACTTAAAACCAATGAATTGCTGACTTCATTTAGGAAAACTCTAACCCATCCTTTAATTTATCACTTCATTTAACAATCCCCCCTCTCTCAATGAACCATTCGGACACACATATATACACATATATACACCATGTTACCACTTCATTCTCTTCTACCCTATCCTCATAGAGATCGAATCCTGTAACCATAAAAACCAAGAGACCGAAGCTAAGGACATACAAAACAACAACCATTGTAATTCTGAAAATTACAATTCCAGAGTTACATGTCTCACCATTTGCAACATAGACATATACACAACACTTTAAATCCCCAACACTGCACACCCAAGCTTTCGGTCATATACACACATTTATGCTCTTCATTTTCTCATTAAGCTAGAGCCGTTTCCTTGAACCATTAATCCCTGTTTCGTCCTTCAAAAATAGAGGCAGAAAATCCACATGCAACCAGAAATTTTAAGCTAGATTCCCTCCTTCAAAAATTCAGAGCATCCAGCACCACTCTCCAAAACTTTTAACCAAGTTTTGACAGTCAATATCTCTAAACAATTAAGCAACATCCAACAAAAGATTGTAGTAACCGAAAACCATAAAATTCAAAACATAAAGCCCCTGTTTCAGTGTCAAAACAAGTCGGTCCTCAACATGCAGCAATCAGTAACAACATGTAAATTCAAGGACAACAGCAAATTCAAGGACGACAGCAAATTCAACCACAGGGATCAAATCGGAAAAGCAACATAACAAAATTAAACCGGCCAGCCTGTAACAGATCCAACCAACCAAAGGCTGCCAGAGGTAGATCCGACGGTGTATTGCTCTGGGAAGACAAGATCTCCACGAACTGCTCAAATGCAGAGGCAGACGGTGAGAGCAGCTCCGACTTGTGATGAACGAGCAGCATCCACACGGCCACGCACACCTCACACCTAATAGCTGACCTCACGATGATGATGGGACGGAGCTCACGGTCACCAACGACAGAGCTTCTCGGAGGCGACCACCGATAGACCTTGTCAAGGCGACCACAGACGGAGCTCACGGTCAAACAACAAACGACTTGTGATGAACGAGCAGCGCACACCTCACACCCAACAGCTGACCTCACCACGATGACGGGACGGAGCTCACGATCACCAGCGACAGAGCTTCTCGGAGGCGACCATCGATAGACCTTGTCAAGGAGACCACAGACGGAGCTCACGGTCAAACAACAAACGACTTGTGATGAACGAGCAGCGCACACCTCACATCCAACAGCTGACCTCACCACAATAACGGGACGGAGCTCACGATCACCAGCGACAGAGCTTCTCGGAGGCGACCACCAACGGACCTTATCGAGGCAAGCACAGACAGAGCAAGCGTGGGGGCTCGGGTTTAAAAAAATAAAAGGAGTCTCACTCATGGGGGAATAGAGAAGGCAGATGAATTCAGAGAAAAGTAAAGGGAATAGATTCCCTGTGAGAACGGTCCATAAGCTCTTCCATGTGATCAGAAGCTCCCCCTCCCCAGCTTAGCTCAATCGTGCGTTGAAGGGGCTTAAAAATTCATAAGCCCAATTGTTAAAAAGCTCTGCCAAATGGACCATTTTTCCCACTAAGCTTATAATCACTTATAAGCCACGTTTGGGCCAGCAAACGCTGACCCAAACAGGCACTAAGTGACTTATAACCACAGCATTTATCGTTTGTTTGAAGCTGTGAGACGGAACTCTTTTTACTAAAAAATTATCTTTAAAGGCTTCAATTACCATTCCAAACAATTTCTTAGTATCCTGGCAACAAAATTAATCTCTATTCCCATAACCCGAAAAATCAACAATCATTATGGACACATTGAAATAACTAAACAATCATTATGGATACATTGAAATAACTAACTTAGGGGGTGTTTGGTAACATGAAAAAGTGCTTTTCAAAAACATTTGTTTGTAAAACGAGACAAACTCTTCTATATATTTACTTCGTATACTGTAAAAATATTTTTAAAACTATGATTGGATTTTCATCCAAATATTTTTTTTCACTAGGAAAAACAACCTACGTGACCCAAGCCGTCATAGATTCCTCCAATCTGCATCACATTCAAGGCAAGATAGAATGACAGAGGACAACCAATAGGCTGATCTAATAATTGCTCCATTCACATGTATCTTTATGGGAGAATTACAGTCAAGTCTTTAAAAAAAATAATTACTAAAATGTCCTAATAACAATCTGAGCAGCCTGTAATGATAAGTTTTAGAATGGAAAATAACAATCTTTAGGATTTATTTTGCAAGTTTTTTTTCCTTCCTTGGATCTCATTGTAATTCTCCCCATCTTCAACTTGGAGCGGACCCTTGTAAATGTCTTATTTTCATTCCAAACTCATTTTTATCTTCAATTTCATGTTCACATAATTTAATCAACCCTATGCATTATTAACATTATGATTTACATGGAAAACTTGAGTTGCTAGAGTTCACTTCACACGCATCCCTATCTTCAATTTCATTTTCACATTTAATTAACCCGAACCGCGTCATTAAGATTATTATAATGAATTACAGGGAAAACTTTCATATTGGTAGATTTATTTATACTCTTTTTTCCGAATAGATATATACATTATATGAAGTATAAAGCAAGAGTCATTTTTCTAACGGCCTCTGTATCTGTCGCGGTAAAGCTCCTAGATCACACACACACACCAACAAAAGTATGACTCGTGAACTTCACAACTTGAGTAGTACTACCTCTCATCCTTCATATAAGATCTCATTTGACTTTTATTGTGGTTCTAAATATAAGATCTTAATCCAGTTTGTCTCTCATATTTATCAGTTTTTTCCTAAGATGGTCCTTATAATAATGATAAATCTAGCCAATACACTTGATTAGCAAGGATATTTTAGAAAAAACAATATTTGTTTATTACAAATAACTAACTTCACTAGTTTTCTTAATTTACTCAAATTAGTCAACTAGCTCTTATGTTAAGGATCGGAGATTGTATATCAAGTTGATTTTCCTTCTATCTTCAGATACGCTACATTTTGCAGCATCAGGAGAATACATACAGGATATGAGCTTTTAAAAAAAAGGTTTTGAATATGGACGTATTCCTTGATATTATTTGAACTTGGAGAATTCTAATTTAATTAAAATAGAAAGAGATTATATGGTGTAAGATTCTAATTTAATTTGTTAAGTTGCGAAAGGATTTTCACATATAAACGAGATATTTGAAAGTGTGGAGGTGCCTAAAATGTGGGCTACCTTACAGAAATAATATTAGTAGAGAAAAATATATTTTTACTTTTATTTTAAAACTGTTTGAGCCTCATTTTACAAATCCCAATATGTGTGCTGTGTTTTTTTCTTAAAAAAATGGAGACCTTTTTATTTGCTACAGGGAGCAAATTTTATGAATTATCAATTTTTTTTTGTGTGGCTTGGAACAAGCATTATATTGGTGACATGAAAATTTAATTATTTTTTCGAGTATAGAGATAACTGTGTTTTAATTTTCAGTGGGGGTTACATATTTATCTTGGTATAAGTATATGCATAATCAGCTTTTAATGATATCGTTGGTAATGTTATGCTGTTTCAAGATTTGAGTTAGAAGCATAGATGAAACAAATGTGTTTTTGAGTGTTGAAATTATAAAGGTAGTGACAAAATCTCTCAACTTGACAAGTGTTTCTAGAGTTTGGTTCCCAAGGACCAATATGTGAATATTTCTATAATATTTTGTTTAGAATAGTTGTACAACTCAATATGTATATGCACAAATTTTTGAGAATTTGTTACATTAAATTAAACTAGTTCCTGTGATAAAACCTGTATTGTAAGGTTGAGCATATGTTTAAATAAAGTCCTATAAGAAAAATGAAACATTTGAGGGATACTAGAAATGTTGGTATCTTATGCAGTGGATTCACAGTGTATTAAGATACATAGATGTTAATTGAATTTCAAGTTTTATGAGAAAATCTACAAGTGATTACCTTTAGTGGTGATTGGGGGCTAATTTGTTGAAAACCTCTTAGTAAATATTTTGGCGTAAAACCGACACTTAGTGTCGATGAGTTGTGATTGCCAAATGGCAATAACCGTTGTAGAGAAACCAATGGTGCAAG